CAATGGACAATATAGATTTTCGAGCGCATAAAGTCATGTTGTGTACTATTAGAGATGTTTTTGTCTAAAATGAAGCGGGCATGTATTTAACCATACGACGCAAAACTTAGTGAATGTGGATAAACGAACATCCGTGATTACACATAAGCATCAAAAATGGTATATACAATCCGCTTATACGAACATCCAATTTTACTAAATATTTACTGTATGTTTATGGGTAAATCTAACATATAATATTTATGTGATTGGTTACATATGTATTTATAAACTATAGCATCACGTATGTATAACAATTTTATAAACGGGATTATGGATACATCATCAAACGTTATATTACGCGTAGTTTGCATAATAAACATACTATATACATATACAAAATTAGTATATCTACATGTTATAACATGTGTAATATACATTATTGTTGGATCACAAAACAGATCGATGCCATGTCTCATATGTTTTAAACATATATACATCATAATATCTTAGAGTTATATGACGCATAGGGAGTGTTTGAACGCACCTATTATGGTCTACATAATAAATATGTATGACCCATACCCGATATTTTAAGTATCACAAAATATCGTTTGTAGAATGTAAGTGTACCCAGACTCAATCTAAATGTAACAGTGAATACTAATATCCATTCGGAGCATCAAACAATGTTTGAGTCATGTTGTATGTATCCTGCAAGTATAAGGATAAACATTTTTTAAATAAATATATATGTATATGGTTATAGATATATCCATAGTATCAAGGTAGAGCTATTGTAGCATCTATAACCATATAAAGTGCATCAAGGTAATTTACGATGATCCATCTATATGTATAGACATAAGTATTTGGATGTCCAATATCTAAAAAAAGATGGATTTAGAGTTTGCATATAATACAAACCGTGTTTTCATATAATAGTGCACGATAGTATATGTTTAGATCCATATTACCCATTTATAAATACCCATTATGCATCTATTTTTTTTTTTTTCTTGTAAAATCCTTTATATATACCGCAACTTACAAAAGTTCGGCTGTAAATCAGCCAGTACACCAGTCCTAACTAAGAACAGCAATCCCAGGTAGCCAGTATTATATGCAAACTCTAAATCCATCTTTTTTTAGATATTGGACATCCAAATACTTATGTCTATACATATAGATGGATCATCGTAAATTACCTTGATGCACTTTATATGGTTATAGATGCTACAATAGCTCTACCTTGATACTATGGATATATCTATAACCATATACATATATATTTATTTAAAAAATGTTTATCCTTATACTTGCAGGATACATACAACATGACTCAAACATTGTTTGATGCACCGAATGGATATTAGTATTCACTGTTACATTTAGATTGAGTCTGGGTACACTTACATTCTACAAACGATATTTTGTGATACTTAAAATATCGGGTATGGGTCATACATATTTATTATGTAGACCATAATTAGGTGCGTTCAAACACTCCCTACGCGTCATATAACTCTAAGATATTATGATGTATATATGTTTAAAACATATGAGACATGGCATCGATCTGTTTTGTGATCCAACAATAATGTATATTACACATGTTATAACATGTAGATATACTAATTTTGTATATGTATATAGTATGTTTATTATGCAAACTACGCGTAATATAACGTTTGATGATGTATCCATAATCCCGTTTATAAAATTGTTATACATACGTGATGCTATAGTTTATAAATACATATGTAACCAATCACATAAATATGTGGGTAGCCTATTCCGAGCAGCCAGCCAGCACGTGAATGCATGCTTCGGTATGGAATAGGTGAACCACACCGTCCGAGCCCAGGTGACCCGGCTAAACGAGGAGTGGAAGAATTTCCATGCTTTAGACGTGGAGAATGACCTGAGAGACGGGTCTAAAGAGTCTGTAGACCAAAAATACCTGTCACCCGACATCGAGGAGATCGGCGAAGCATGTGAAAGGAGGCTGATACGGATAGCTTCGATTGCAGGGTTCCGTCCTTGAGGAATATGCCAACCGTCATTTCCCCATGCTTCTCTCACTGTAGCTTGTCGGTGGATCCCGACTAGCCTCGGTCCCATCTCCCCCAAGTACAGTATCAAGGGTCCCTCAGGGAGCCACGAGTCAAACCAGAAGCTACATGATTCACCATTCCCTACTCGACATCTAAGAAATGGTCGAGCAACGACTCGGAGTTTCAGTAATTTCCGCCACATCCAACTACCCTTGTTCTCATTCTTTAGATCCCAAAAGGATTTCCGCGAGAGAATGTGTTGTCTTGTCCAGGCGACCCATAGAGATCCACTCTTTGTAAAGAGCATCCACAATAGCTTAAGGGTCAATATAGAGTTCCACTGGGCCAAGCGTCTGAGTCCCAGCCCGCCCGATGATTTAGGTGTACAAACCGTACTCCATGCCACTTTAGCTCCTTTGGCTGTCACTGGAGCCCCTGTCCAGAGGAAAGCAGAGCACATACGTTCCAACTCATTCGTGCAGTGTCGGGGCAATACAAATGCCGAAGCCCAGAAGTTGATCACACTGTATGTTACGGATTTGAGTAGTTGCAGCCTCCCTGCAAAAGAAAGGAATCTAGTTGTCCATGAGAACAACTTCCCACGCACCGAGTCCTTGAGCCTAGCACAATCCCGCTCCGTAATACGCTTCCCCGAGAGCGGAAGCCCCAAATATCGCACTGGGAGATTGGCTTGTGCAATTCCCAAGCTAGTAGACAGTTGCAACCCAAGATTCTCATCGCTGCCATCTATAAAGAGACTCGTTTTCTCCTTATTCAACTGCAACCCAGAAGTTTTTTGGAAGCACTCAAAAGTCTCAATTACTGCCGAGAGAGAGGTTGTAGAGCAGTCAGAGAATACCAAGATATCATCAGCAAACATCAGGTTCGAGACTACTGGGTTCCGACATTTAGGAGGCAGAGAGATCAGCCCATGTTCAACCCTTTTGTTCAACAAACGACTAAGTATATCCATGACCAGTGTAAAGAGATAAGGGGAGAGTGGGTCACCTTGTCGTAGCCCCCTCTTCCCTCAGAAATAGCCAACTGTCTCACCATTAAATGAAATGGAAAACGCAGTAGTAGTCAGACACTCACGGATCCAGCTGATAAACCTTGTCGGAAGTTGTAGTGCGGTCAATATTCGTATAACAAAATCCCAGTGGACCATGTCAAAAGCTTTGGTTAGATCGACTTTTACCATAGCTTGTCGCGGTTGGCCTCTCCTGTCAAATCCAGATACAAGTTCCGTAGCTAACAAAACGTTTTCAAGCAAGGACCGTCCAGGAACAAAAGCAACCTGGTTGGGGCATGTGAGTGCCGGTGTAATCTGTCGTAATCTCTTGGCCAAGATACGGGAGATAATCTTGTACAATGTGTTACAACAGGAAATCGGCCTATAATCTTTCAACCGAGCTGCGTTCTTGGTCTTGGGGATCAGGGTAATGAGAGTCGCATTCCATTGTTTGAGCAATGAACCCGAAGTAAAAAATTCCTTAACAGCCTCGGTGATCTCACCCCCCACAAGCTGCCAACAATTTGTGTAGAACTCAGCCGAATAACCATCTGGCCCAGGAGCTTTCCCATGCGGTAGTGCAAAGACAGTGGCTCGGATCTCCTCGTCAGTCGGGATAGCATCAAGACCTGCCGTAAGGCTTGATGTCCCAGTCATGTTGATTAGATCCTGTATGTCCTCAGTCGTCCAACAAGATAGTCCATCATCCTCCTTCCCTAAGATGTCTCTGTAATATTGGATCGACATCCTTTTAAGCTCAATGGTGTCATGAACCCGATCACCTGCATCAGATACAAGAAACCGGATGGCGTTAGTTGCCTGTCTCGAAGCCACGATACGGTGAAAGTACTTTGTATTCTAATCCCCCTCTGAAAGCCAACGGATCCGAGATTTCTGCTTGAGAAAGGTCTCCTCTGCAGCAGAAAAGACAGACCAAGCCGTGCGAACCCTAGATTCCTCGGTTGCAGCCTCCAGGGATGGGTTTTGGAGAAGTAAATTCTGGGCAGCTTTTAAATCCTCTAATGCTCTAGCTGATCTCTGCTGTATTCCACTGTATGCTTGCTGATTAAGGTGCCTCAACACGCTTTTCAACCGCTTGAGTTTTATTGAGACCTTGAACATAAGTGACCCTTCAAATGTAGGAGAGTTCCAAGAATCAGCAACTAGAGTATGAAAAGATTCATGCTTAGTTACGTGGAGTGGAAACTTAAAGCTAGTTCTCCGGTGTTCCATTCGACTCCGTTGAAAGTCCACTATACAAGGCGAGTGATCCGATGGTGCCGGAGCATCAAAGAAAGCATAAGCATCAGCGTATGCTAGAAGAGACGTGTCATTGACCAATGCTCTATCCAGTTTCCGGGCTATGGGGTTCTCCATACTGCAATTTGTCCAAGTAAAATAGGCCCCTTTAGAGGGTAAGTCAAACAGACCTGTTGATAGGAGACAATTCTGGAAATCGACCATTCCCTGGTGGGGAAGAAATCGTGCCGTCGGGGAGGCATGTTCCTGGGGCCGCAAAACCTGGTTAAAATCCCCCATTAGGACCCAAGGTTTAGCCGGCACTAGAGGGTGCGATGCAATCAGTGAAATTTCCTGCCAAAGGTGTCTTCGTTCCGAGGAAGTATTCATTCCATATACAAAGGTGACAGTGAGGTAGGATCCAAGAGCTGGGTCAAACACACCACAAGTGACTGCTTGCGCCGATGCTGAGTAAATGTTGACTACAAGAGCTGGATCCCAGAGAATCCATATTCTTCCCAATTCGGCAGCAGGCTTGATGTCCCAGTCATGTTGATTAGATCCTGTATGTCCTCAGTCGTCCAACAAGATAGTCCATCATCCTCCTTCCCTAAGATGTCTCTGTAATATTGGATCGACATCCTTTTAAGCTCAATGGTGTCATGAACCCGATCACCTGCATCAGATACAAGAAACCGGATGGCGTTAGTTGCCTATCTCGAAGCCACGATACGGTGAAAGTACTTTGTATTCTGATCCCCCTCTGAAAGCCAACGGATCCGAGATTTCTGCTTGAGAAAGGTCTCCTCTGCAGCAGAAAAGACAGACCAAGCCGTGCGAACCCTAGATTCCTCGGTTGCAGCCTCCAGGGATGGGTTTTGGAGAAGTAAATTCTGGGCAGCTTTTAAATCCTCTAATGCTCTAGCTGATCTCTGCTGTATTCCACTGTATGCTTGTTGATTAAGGTGCCTCAACACGCTTTTCAACCGCTTGAGTTTTATTGAGACCTTGAACATAAGTGACCCTTCAAATGTAGGAGAGTTCCAAGAATCAGCAACTAGAGTATGAAAAGATTCATGCTTAGTTACGTGGAGTGGAAACTTAAAGCTAGTTCTCCGGTGTTCCATTCGACTCCGTTGAAAGTCCACTATACAAGGCGAGTGATCCGATGGTGCCGGAGCATCAAAGAAAGCATAAGCATCAGCGTATGCTAGAAGAGACGTGTCATTGACCAATGCTCTATCCAGTTTCCGGGCTATGGGGTTCTCCATACTGCAATTTGTCCAAGTAAAATAGGCCCCCTTAGAGGGTAAGTCAAACAGACCTGTTGATAGGAGACAATTCTGGAAATCGACCATTCCCTGGTGGGGAAGAAATCGTGCCGTCGGGGAGGCATGTTCCTGGGGCCGCAAAACCTGGTTAAAATCCCCCATTAGGACCCAAGGTTTAGCCGGCACTAGAGGGTGCGATGCAATCAGTGAAATTTCCTGCCAAAGGTGTCTTCGTTCCGAGGAAGTATTCAGTCCATATACAAAGGTGACAGTGAGGTAGGATCCAAGAGCTGGGTCAAACACACCACAAGTGACTGCTTGCGCCGATGCTGAGTAAATGTTGACTACAAGAGCTGGATCCCAGAGAATCCATATTCTTCCCAATTCGGCAGTTGTATAATTATGAGCAAAATTCCAGGAAGGGGCGATGGATCGAGCAATACGGCTGGCGGTAGACTGATCACGAACTCTGGTTTCTATCAAGCTTCCAATTTTTGGTCGATGAGTGCGGATGATGTCACGAACAGCTTGTTGTTTAGCCGCTCCATTAACCCCGCGAATGTTCCAACAAAAAAGCTTCATAGCACACGTCAAACGCAAAATTTAAAATCCAACAAATCCAAGAAAGGCAAAAAACAAAAAACCTGGGTATTGCTATAGGCTTAGTTGTGCTTAGCCCTGCCCCTACGGGCTTTCTGGACCTCAGTAAACCCGTCAAGAGCTCTAGAGGCAGTAGCATTTCGGGTTCTCAAAACTCTCTGGGCCTCACAGATAGGCTGATCTTTTGTATCAAACACGAGCTTAGGCTGGCTGAGAGATGGGTGAGTATCCTGTGGAGATGAGATAGCATTCTCTGTCGACTCCTTAAACGTGGTAGATGATGTATCATGCCCGACCCACAATGGAGGTTCCTGTGGAACTGATGGGTGGCTACTTGGAAACATTGATTTCAAAGATACCCGGGGGGAGGCAGTGGCAGATGCAGATGGTGGTACCTCTGATGCCAAGTGTGGGGGTGCGGGGGTGTGTGGAGGCGGGCTAACATCAGTCAAGACCTTCGGAGTCTCCAGATCAGTCGTCCTATTAGAGGTTGTGCCCTTGTGCCCCACAATACGAGACTGTTTGAGGAAGCAGTTCATCTCCCGATGACCAAACTCGTGACATGAAGTACATCGAGGCGGCAACCAATCATATAAAGCTTTGATCACAACAATACCTCCACTGTCATCCTCTACTTCAATGGTGTCCGGAAGAGGCGAGCCAAGTTGCACCTCTATTTTGACCCGGGCACGACCCACATTGAACGGGTCTAGGCGCATACGTTCCGTGTGCAGCGGTTCACCGATCCCACAGGAGATGTAACTAATACCTTGAAGACTGTACAGCTCAGCCGGGATGTCGGAGAGGCTTACCCAAACTGGTGCAGATTTTAAGGTTGTCTTCCGGAAAGAAGCCGTAGGGGACCACTCTGCAACTGTGAACATGGTATCTCCCACACGCCATATTCCCACCTCAAGGATCCATTCCCGTGTAGAGAGATCAGCAACGTGAAACAAGCAAGTTGAGTCATTGACCCGTCGCACATGAATCCTACTTTTCCATCCCCAAATAGGATTAAGGGACTGGAAAATTTTGGACCCCGACGGAGCCACACCAAGGAAATGGCCAACTAGATGTCCTTTCCAAGTCTGGGACGCCTCCAACAGTACAGAGCTCGGCACACGCACCCTCGGTTTACCGTCTGCCGATATTACCGGAGTAGTGACCCGGCTGAGGTTCCGTGAGGAGGTTCGCAATCTTTGAGCCCACTTATATTCGGGAGCAAGTGAACCTGGCTGAGGAGGATGGGGAGGGACAGGGGTTTTAGCCGTAGTTAGCAAACCAGCAGCCGGGTTCAGGTGGGCTGTCCCTGGCAGAGGAGGGAAATCCTCAGCACACAGTGACGGAGCAGGGGCAATCAGAGCAACGTCGCTGGCAACACCAAGAGCTGGCGTGCTCGGAGCAGCAGGTGCCGGCGGAGTAGGAGCAGCCGTCTGATTCGACTGGTACAGAGCAACAGGGACCGGCAGACTAGGACCAGACATCTGAGTCGACGGAATCGGAGCAGCAGGGGCAGACGGCGTAGGAGCAGCCGTCTGAGACGCAGGGTTCGTAGCAGCAGGGGCCGGCGAAATAGGAACAGCTGTCTGGGCCGACGGGCTCAGATTTTCCGGAGCTGGCGAGCCGCCCAGGTCAGGTCCAGTTGGCGGAGCTGCCGGAAGAGCAGATCCACGCGGCAAGGCTTTGGGGACCGACTGTGGCGACGACCGTGGCGACGATTGTTGAGGTGACTTTGAAGGAGAGTGGTTCTTCTTCTTCTTTGCCATCTTCGGCTGGGATGGCGAGGGCCCGGCGACGTGGCAGAGCCGCCGGCTGCGCGGAAGCGGAGCTTAGGGTTTTCTATATTTCTATTCAACCGGTCTCCAAAAACGCCCCATTATGCATCTAAACATATTTAAACCGTGAAAGCGTGGGAATTATGCATACCACAATATCTATTATAGCATATATGTACCAAACGAGTTAGGGTTTTTTGACTATTTAATGCACTAAACCTATGCGTCAATCGCCGGCTGCGCGGAAGCGGAGCTTAGGGTTTTCTATATTTCTATTCAACCGGTCTCCAAAAACGCCCCATTATGCATCTAAACATATTTAAACCGTGAAAGCGTGGGAATTATGCATACCACAATATCTATTATAGCATATATGTACCAAACGAGTTAGGGTTTTTTGACTATTTAATGCACTAAACCTATGCGTCAATACATAGGCATGGTTCGGACACAAACATGTTTAGAGTGCATGGATTTAGGAAAGGTTGAGTCAAAAAGGGGAGTTTGAGTCCTTTGTCTTGTGAGCTATTTGTATATATATTAATCAAGGTCATGTTTATTATATGCACTTACATATTAAGTTATATAACTTAAGTGCCAAACATAAAATTGCGATAGATGGTTATAATTGAATATAGATTTACTACAACCATATGCTACAATCATAATTTTGGGTAAAGTGTTATTGTAGTTAATATCATTAAATAGTACCATTTGAGGGGTACATACTATTTGTCTACGCTCTCTATGTATACATATAATGTCTAAACATGACTGTGTATATTTACATCTAAAAATGTTTGTACATACTATATCAACATATAATCAATATAATTAACCGTATTTAATTATTAAAATGCTACAATAGTATATTATATCTTAGGACACAAAACCCAGTTGTGCTTTAATTTTGCAGATTACATGTTTGTGTCCAAACATATACCCTTTTTGGATATAAAAAACATGAACGTAAATTTTTGCTATATGTTAGAGTTATATGGCAAATCCAGCTTTGAACCATGGGTATACCACTAGATTGAATGATTTCTTGTAAACTACATTATATAGTTTTACGTTTTAAACCTTGTCATTTTAATACCTCGTATATATAATTATACATGTTTAGAGTGCCATATGTTTAGAGTGCTACAAACACAAACATTTTTAGAGTGTTACTATCAATAGAGTGTTAAACATATTAGTACTATGTTTAGAGTGCCATATGATGATTGATACAATATAAATCACAACTGATTAATGTATAATGTTTTAAGTGTATCGGGTACATAAACTTGACATATGTATAAACTCATAAATTCTTACGTTCCTAAAACATATAAAATGTTTGCTATACCAAATAGGTGACATTTTATATATATACAATTATGTCTAAACATGTTTAAACTTATGCACTCTATTGATAGTTTGGATCTTAATCAGGATGCTACATTGTTGTATTCTAGTTATATAAAATGTTTATTATGTAGTACAAATATGTTTAACACTCTATTTTTTTTTTGTTAAAAATGTAAATACTATTCCTGTGTAATAACGTCTACAAGGATGAAGGAATGTGTTACCCTCCATCCTAAGTCAGAGATACAGAATGTATAAGGATAGCAACACAGCAAACCCAGGAAATGAGAGCACAAAACAACAAAAAATTACATCGGCTCAAATAGCCGAAACCAAATAGAAAGCAGCGAGTCGTCTGGATGTAAACATGTCCAATCGTTCCTGATCGTTGTGAGTCGTCTTCTTGCTTGAAGTCTAATCTCCTTGACCAGCATTTCCCCCGGCCTGGACTCAGTGTTGTGCAAGCGCGCATTCCTCTCCTTCCAGATGTTGTAAATAGCCCCTTGAAAAAGCAGCAACGTCATCAGCCGTATGCAACGGTCATTTGAGCAGCTTCCCAACCATATAGTCCATCCCATGAATGTAAATTGCCAAGTCAGTTGAAGCTCCGAGTGGAGTAGCAAAGAGTTCCAGATTGCAGACGAATATGAGCACCCAAAGAAAAGGTGATCGACGGTTTCCGGTTCCGCGTCACAGAGCAAACACGTTTGAGGCGCCTCCCGCCCCCATCGTTGCATCTTATCCCTCGTTGGCAGCCTGTTACGAGCAACCAACCAAGAGATAAAGGCATGCTTGGGGACATATTTATTAAACCAAATAACACTGCTCCAGGGAACCCGAGGGGGTGGAGGAACGAACATATTCCATGCCCTCTTAGTAGTGAAACGTTGATGGTCTGTAGTTTGATAACTCTCAGACCAGTAAAAATAATCCTGTTGGTCTGAGGTTGCTGGAATACCAATGTCCATGAGCGTGAGGTGTAGAGAAATAACCTCATCTGATCTCGCTGGAGGTATTAGCCAACCTTCTGCATTACAAACATCACTTACCATTGCGTTTCTCGGAATTCCTAGTTGTCTTGGACCGCCTTCACCTAGGAAGCCAATCAACGGACCTTGGGGAAGCCAAGAGTCCAGCCAAAATCTGCATTGACGACCATTCCCTACATGACATTTCAGGAATTGACGTGCAATAGGTCGGAGTCTGAGGAGTTTGTGCCATGCCCAACTTCCTTTCCCTCTCGGTCTTAGATCCCAAAAGGAAGAGGAACCCATCAGATTTCGGTTTGCCCATGCTACCCACAGAGAACCACCTCTTGTAAACAACAGCCAAATCAATTTCAGACATAAAACCGTGTTCCAATCACTTAACCTCTTGAGACCAAGTCCCCCCGAGTGTTTAGGGGTACACACTGCTGTCCACGAAACTTTTGCTCCTTTAGCCGAGTCTGGCGCTCCCGTCCAAAGGAATGCTGAGCACAGTTGTTCAACCTCCCGTATACAAGCCCGTGGTAGAATAAATGTCGAGGCCCAGAAGTTTATTAGACTGGAAATGACTGATTTAATCAGTTGCAACCTTCCCGCAAAGGAGAGAAATTTCGATGTCCAAGAGCAGATCCTGGCTCTAATCGCCTCTTTCAGCCGTGCACAGTTAGAAGCATTGAGCTTCGAGGGGCTTAAAGGGAGACCGAGGTATCTAACCGGTAGTTTAGAGTAGGAAATACCAAGTGAAGTGGCCAAGACTGAGCTCAAGTCATCTCTGTCCCCATCAGTAAAGAGAGCTGTCTTGGCCTTGTTTAGTTGCAGGCCAGACGTCAAGTAGAACCGGTGGAGAGTGTCCATGACATTACTC